ATATTTCGAGCCCGAAGCAGGGGGCGGCGCTCTCCAAGAAAACCTGGGCCCGGCTTGACTTGGTCCTCAATCGTAGTACGGCGAAGAGTCGAGAGGCAGTGTCCATCCGAGGTGGAAGGAGCAGCTAACCATCCTCTAGTGTTTGCCCGTGTGAAGGTAGGCCGCCGCCTCTGCCTAAGTGAATCCACTCCAAGTTGATTGTCATCATCTTGGTAGTTGAGCCGCCCTGTTCCGCCACACCGGAGGGAGTGTGGCGCGATAAGTCGGGGGGCTTGGTTCTATAGTGGTGTGTACTGTAGGGTGGTGGCATGTTGGTGATGGTACTGGTGGGTTTATGCGCTGGTGATCTTAAGTTCGAAGCCTTGCTATCTCATCTTGAGTTCGAAACCCTACGGTCCCGTGTTCTCTCACTAAGCCGCATGAGACAAGCGACTTTACGGTGCGATATAAAATATAGTAATAGACAGAAGACAAAGAGATACCGATAGCAGATAGAAGAAGCGAGAGAAACTATATATCAGACCACAACCCCCAACTGTTAGCGAGATGTGGCACGAAAGATGATTGGTGAAGTGTTATAGAGAAAGGAACAGAAAGGGCCATACTTTGACGTCATTGCCTTGACAAGATTCTCTACCTGAGAAATCAAAAGCATCTTCCCCAGGCAGGTCGTACTTAGAATCGAGCTCAGCCTCACTTCTGCTTGTTTACTGTCACTTCACTGTTATCACTGCTAGTTACTCCTCCCTGACTTTGAAGATATCACTCCCCAGTCTCTGAGGAATGTCACTGTAGTCTGAACTTCAGTTTGCTTAGGATTTTCATTGATTAATTAATTTTTTTGGACTGGTGAGGTGAATGTTATAGTTTGCTCACAGATATAATTTGTTCCCATATTCAACTGAAGCAAAACATTCATCAGTTGATCACATGTAAATAAAACCCTTTATAAAATAGCTTTGCAGTATGCTATGTGAGACACAGAAACATGCAGAGCTATGTATTATGCATGGAAATATTTAAACAAACATTTCAGTTGTTACGTTGTTACTCTTATTTATTCATGCATTCACAATCATGAAAGTTAGTTTCTATGGATGAGATATCAAGTTCTTTACGAATTTATTTGGAGCGATCCACTGAGTATTCATATCTGACCCACCCACGCCCTCCCCCTGGGGCGATGTGGGTGGGTCAGCCCACACCTGGCCGCCCGGGCGAGGATGCTCTGCCTCACCAACTATAAATGGCGCTGGCATCCGGAGCCAAAATTAGCGTGTGAACCGGTGGGCAGGCGAGGGTGCCAGTCCGGCCCTCGGCACCTGTCGGCTTCTGGCACTCAACTACCGACGGGTTTTGAATTAGTTAATAGTGAGGATAATTGACAATGAATAACGCCTTTACTTGGGGGAGGAGGGCAACTCGCGGGAGAATAGTTGTCACTTCAGAAACAGCGGGTTTCTCTTACAGACACGCTGGTTTGCATGGGAACTAATTCCTTATTTGGCTGCCAGAAACAGTCGGGCGCCTGGGGATACGGCTCGCCGGGCAAGCACGGGAACATATCACAGAATTACTGCATTATTACCTGATTTACTCATAAGGGATAGTTTTCCTGCAAGGATAGAATTAAAAGCTGGGAATTTTTTGTAAATTGAGAAGGCGTTGGAGTTTAGGAAAGTCAAAAATAGAAGCGAAAATCGAACAATACAGAATCTATATATTTAGGGAAAAAGGAACATCCTTTTTGAGTCTGCCTTTGGGTTAAATCACACTCGTTTTTTGCGGTTTCTCTTGATTGATATCGGGTTTCCTATCAGTTGAATGAAATGCTGATTCTTTTAGTTTCAAAGCTTGTAAAGGGACTGGAAAAATATGTTTGCAATGCAGCTCTGTGCAAGGAAATATTTCCGATAATTTTCAAGAGAAATGTGACTTATTATTATACTTGATTTCTTTTGTAAGGAAAATATGACATATATGTAATATATTGTAATTTAGGAAAATCATCTAGATATTTGCATAGCTTCACACTTCAAAAAACAACTAAAAAGGCTAGATCAAATAGCGGACAGCACAACCACATCACCACCACCACCAACAAAACAACAATATACACAGTAGTTATTTCCCAGGCTCTCCACATGGAGTAGGCCTACGCTCGGAATTTGGAAATGCAAAACCATAATGTAATAACTCACACCCACATTCACACACACATCAACATTCTCTTTCATCATAACTGCCTCATTCTTCAACACAACCATTCCACCCAAAAACATCGCTCAGCAGACAAGAATTTCCCCTTATTTTAGCCCGTAGAATCCACCTCACACGCAGCACGTTCTTCCCCCAGGCCTAACATCGCCGCAGACATGCCGTTCAAGGCCCCAGAGAACCCCAAATGCCCCAAGTGCGGAAAGTCCGTGTACCACGCCGAGGCTCGAGTGGTTGGCGATATTTCCTTCCATAAGGAATGTTACAAATGCAGTAAGTTCATGGCGGATGCCGCGTTGTTTAAGCTTTCATTTCTTTGTTGTGGAATTTGGTTAACCGTTCCTTGCTGTAAGGGTCAGTTAGCGTTGTATCAAAAAGGTTTAGATATATCATTTGACAATTATTGGAGTAAAACTCGCCATTTTAGCAGAAGAGTCGAACAGACAATAAACATCATAAAAAAGAAAAAGAAATACATATGTCTAACCAACATCCCCCCTCTCCCCCTCCCCTCCCTAAGGTATGTGCAACAAGATGTTGGACTCCACCAACTCCAACTGTCACGAGAACATCCTGTACTGCAAGACCTGCCACGGACGGAAGTTTGGGCCCAAGGGATACGGCTTCGGAGGCGGCGCTGCTGGCCTCAGCATGGACACTGGCGCACACCTCGAGTAAGTGTTGCTGCTGCAGACTTGGTTCATATTCCTAGGGCGTGTTCCGGAAAATGTCTCACACTTTCAATTCATGTCAAAGCTAACTAAATTGGTTTCTTAAGATCGTTAAACAATATAGAATTTATTTATTTAAAAATCGATAATTTTCCATGCGAACACACCTCCCTGTAATGAGCACATCGATCAGTATACCCGGATCTCACAAAAAAGGAAGTATAAAAGTCAAATAAATGATGAGCTTAATTAAATCAAGGCGACTGAGAAAAGTACACTGATCGATTATACGTCAAAAAAGACTATCAGACAGATCTCTCGTACTCCATCAGTGACAGAAACCTTTAACCTTCCTCAAAAACTTGGCTGACGAGATATTTATCTGACATCATTACTGACCCAATATAATTAGTGAAGTACATGGCCCCACGTGATTTTTTTTCTTTCTTTGTAGAACAATTTATGTGCTAAGACGGTTTCACATTAGATAGTTTCCTTTAGAACACGTCACTTTTACTAGAGAAAGGGAAAAGATGTGACGAGAACACCTGGCTTTAAGTCACTCACTAACATAGGGTAAACTTTCCTAACCCTGTGCGTTGTCCGTCCTAAAACCCATGTTATTTTTGTGTGCTTGTGCCTCCCGAGATTTTGTTTTTATAGAGTTCCCTCCCCTTTCCCTGACCTTTACTTCCTATACTGTGTTCAACCTTCCCTTATGTGTGTAGTCGGGAGCCTAACCTGCAAAGATACTTTTAAAACATGCAATCTGGGACCATGTGGTTTTCTTCTTTGTAGAAATCACTTCTCTCTCCTTATATTCATCTTTATGATTGTAATTCCGTCTTCAATTGGTTTATATACATATTTTTAATTCCCTCTTAATCAGAGGATAGCGGGCCTTCTCTTGCTTTTAATTAATGATCACCTATGTTATACTTTTGTGGCGAAACTTCTCAATTGGTTCATTGCCCACGAATAACCTTCAGATCATAACACAAAACTGTGAAAAATATCACGGTGAGCTGGGGAGTCGAAGAGAGGAAAAATCTCGAAACAAGTAATAAGTTGCAGAAGTGGCAAGGTGGAAGCACGTAGGTGATTCAGTGACTTCCCCGCGCCTAGGTCGTTGTGATCCTTGCCTGACCATTCCGACAATAACCAGTTGGGAAGTTTCCCCCTCTGTTAAATACTCCATCTCAAAGGAAGCTTCAGGCGACTGACAATTTCTTCCCCTTCCTCTCCACAGAAAGAAGTAAAAACCTCCTCCTACGCCTCAATACACAGTTCTGAAAACTCAATCGTAGAGCTCGACTCATAGCACAAGGATGCTAGCTAGTGCCTGGATGAAAGCTGTTGTCTTGGAGATTTATTTTGCAAAGAAAAACTAAATTTTCGATATTCATGATTTATGCTCGGGAAGAACGATTCATAACTTGTATTGTTTTTATTGATTTTCTTTTCTTATTTGTTGGAAATTCACGTATCTTCAGCTGTTAATTTGATTTATGTCTCCATTACTAAGCCATATGCCAGTGCATCATCAATTAAAACCTAAAAATGTAATTGGAAAAGGAACGTTCGAAGCCAGTAATTCATTGTATTGGTTTGATGCTGCTCGACTCCTAAGCTATCACTTGCTCACACCGCTACGCGCTAAACGCTTAACGCTGCGATCGCTGCATGCTCATGAGGCTTCGAACTCGGCTCCGCTCTTTATTCACTGCTACTTACGCTCACTATAGTTCGACACGACTCCCCGTCAGGACGTGGCCGAAGGCGAACGGATCATTGAGCACTTGGACGACCTCAGTTATCCATGCCAACGTCTTGAAGATGTTGATGACGCTTTGCCCCACACGACGACCGAGTGGCACTTGAGAGAAAAGCATAACTGTTTTCGGCCATGGTGTCTCGATCGATTTTCCGTTTGGCTTCGGTGGATCCTGCGCGGGTAGAATAACGAAACCATGTTGCTTATCGCTAGGTTCACTAACCAAGTGTGGGTGACAACAATGATTGATCTCACTGAAGGCCCGCGGGTTCTCTCTGTAGTGGCGAACCTGTCATTGGTCAGACAAAACAAAATCTGCTGTTAGATCATTGAGTGCC